AGGGGCCTGGTCACGTTCTTCTCGTACGTCGTCTCTTTCTCAGGAGCAGGCGTCAGTGTGGAGGTGGAAAAGGAGGAAGAAAAGTTGGAAGAGGAGGTAGTGGAGGAGTTGGAGATGTTTGAGGAGGAGGAGGAGGTAGATAAGGTAGAAGGGGTGGTGCTGTTGTTCAAAGAGCCGGCTAAAGAGCTGTCGTTGCCAAAGCTAAAGTAGGACACTTCAGTGGGAAAGATAAACTGTGAGAGGTCCACCGCCAGGGTGGAGGTGGTGGTGGACGAGTTTGAGGTGTCGTTTAGGAACTCTAAGCTGCCGAGGGCGTCTCGCCGCCGTCGACGGCCTGCTGACGCATCGCCAGAGTCCTCCGCGGCCTCACCGGTGCCGTTCATGTTTACTTCTTTTGATCTAAAAAGCAAAAAAAGAACAGTTAGAACAACTCTTTCTAAAACTCAAATCATTGAAATTTGGTACCTTCTGACATAGACAGTGTTGAGGATAAAGTCCTCAAAGTTGATGCTCTGCTCGACGTCCATGGGGCGAATTTTCTCCGTCGGCTTACAGGCGCAGCACTGTCGCCCGTCGGCCTTCTTCCAGGGCATGTTCTGCTGAGGGTCACTGCTGCCATTCGTCCACACGTTGACCAGCGGCTCTGAGGGCGAGGGCGTGGTGGAGGCGACTGCCGCAGCAGCAGCCGGTCTGGAGGTGNGGAGGCGACTGCAGCCGCCGCAGCCGGTCTGGTGGTGGTCGTGTCACCTCGCAGCACACCGCTGTGGTGGTCCTTCTCCAGACAGAAGTCGCGGTGGTTGCTGATGCTCACCGTGGAGGTGCTGTCACTGCTCACCTTGATGTAGTAGCGGTCAATTTCGCCGTTTGGCCTAATGGGCAGGTCCCACTTGAGCTCAAACTCGTCGTACTTCTTTGAGCTGGCGGCGAGGTTACGCGGCGGTGTTGGCTCTAGGTAGTGGCAACGAAAGTGGTTAAAAATTAACTTAAAAAACAAATAAAAAGTTTAAGCACTCACTGGACGGCTTCGTTTTAAAGTAGATAATGTCCGACTGGGCGCCCCTGGTGGCGATGGCCAGCGTGTAGGTCTTGATGTAGAGCGCATACTGCGTGTACGGCTTCAGATTGGGTATGATGTGGGTGAGCATCTCGGGGCCGTTCAAGTTGGCGTTGATCATCTTGTCGGTGGTCGCCTTGCCGTCATCAGTGTCAATGTCATACTCGACGACGGTCCACTCGTTGTCGGAGCAGGCGTCGCGGCCGTCGAAGATGGAGACGTTGCGGTGTTCGCTGGTAATGGTTTGAAAAAATTAAAGTCATTTTTACTCAACAAAAGCTCAGCTATAATACCTTTCCCGGTAGTAGATGAGGTAGCCCAGCAGCGTCCGACTGTCGTCCATCTTGGGCTTGTAGTCCTCAAAGGACAGGCCGACCACCTCCGAGCCAACGCCCCACAGCGACAGTCCGAGGCGGTCCACGGCGCAGGGCACCTTGTCGCCGTTGGTGTTGGGCGACACCTCATTTTCGTTCCACTTCCCCGGTGAGCCAAAGTCAATGTACTCGCGCATCTTCTCAATCTTGTTCACGCACAGCTTCGGGTTGATGTGAAAGAAGGGTCGGCCGTTGGGAATGCGCAGCCGTTTCGCCTGCTCCGACTTGCCCTCGCCGTTGGTGACATTGTCGAAGATCCACAGGTCCTGCAGGTTGGGGTTGTCGAGGACGAGCAGCGAAAAGGACTGCCGCTCCAGTTTGTTGCCCTGAATCACCTTGAGGTTGCGCAGAAAGTTCAGCGTAATCAGCGGATAGGAGCGGGCAATCTTGAGAAAGTCCGTAATCTCAGAGAGGTCCTTCAGGTTCTCCTCCAGCTCTTTGACGATTTGCGCTACAGTGTTCATTTAATCAAGTGTTAAAGAGTTTACAGCTTTGTTTTATTTGAAAAAAGTCACTCACCCCCGCCACTGCTAATGTAAATCTCCAGACTGCCATTGATGATGGTGCAGCCCTTCAACTCCTGCGCCGACTGAATATTCGACACCACCGAGCTTTGACACACTGAAAAAATGATTTTAAGCAAATTCTTTCTCAGCAACAGCAGCATCTGCTTACCCTTTGGACACTCCACACCGCAGTGGTCACACCGGTGGCGGTCCTTGACATTCTCCATGTAGCCCACCGGACAAGTGGCCTCGCAGCGATTGCGAAAGGCCTTCATGTAGACGCCCTTCTCGCGGCTGGACAGCGAGTAGCACTGCTTCTCGGTGACGCACCGCCGGTTAAAGTACTCATAGGTGTTGGGCGGACACTTCCGGTAACACCGGTTCTGGTAGATGAAGTGCCGACAGGTGAGGCACACCTGCTGTTGAGAGGCTGAAGGGGAAAGAGAAAGGGAAGGGGCGGAAGACGAAGGAGGCGAAAAGTCCACCGACTCGAGAGCGGTGCTCCACCGACAGCCGCCAAGGCACTCTCGCGGACAG